CATTCTCCTACAAATCCTGGGTTTATGACTTGCAGCGATGACTATAGAGCTCGATTTTGGTACCGAAGGTCAACTACAGATTAAAACTGCAGTTCTGAAATACTTGCCCAAATTTTATTCCATTTTCTTTTACAAATAAGTCTGTTTTTATTATGATTAATTTAAGAAGTTTGAAACTGAATCATCTGTAGGAAAGAAGCCCTACCTTAAGGGTATTTTTAAAGTTGTGGTCATATATTTAAAAAAAAAAAAGTAAGCTTAATTTTTCTTTCTTAAGTATACAAGTCTGCCTATTTTTACTACTTAAAGTTCGCCTTTTGTTTTTGTGTTTTTAACAAAATGTTTAATATTCTTGATTTCTTTTGATATACGAATAATTGCCTAGTTCTGACTTGTAATTTTGTACCATGCTTTAATGCTTTGTTAATTATTATTTAGACAATTTACACTTGGTAGCTTACAGTTCTCTTATTAAAATTGATTCTTACAATGGTGTGTCTTCATTTTCTCAGAATTAGTCATTTCCTCTTTCTACCTCATAATCCCAAATAAGGAATACATATTATGATTGCAAAATACTTCTAGGAAGTTCTGGTTAATCAGGTGCTTAGTTTATACTTCTCTGAGCTAAGATTGGTTTGAAGGTGACACTTCAAAGAAATTTCATCACCACGATATATATAACGGACAACTGCAAATTGGATTTTAATCTGTTCTATTCCCAAAGACTTGAAATGGATAATATGTTAGGAAAAAACAGTGAATAATTAAAAGTCTATTAAAATGAGCCCATCTTCATTCCCATTTACAGATAAGTTGTTCAGATATACTCTTAAATATTCAACCAACATAAATATTTTCCTGACATTGACTTTTCACATGGGAACATTTACAGCCAAGGCATTTTCCTTGTACACATTGAGAAATAACGATTGTGTGTGAAATGAAGTTTTGCTCAATAGCATACTAAAACATAGTTTAATAAGGTGCAGTTAGATTTGAACAATAAAAACATTTTACAAACCAGAATGGCTAAATTCACACAGGGTGCTAAACTATAATATAGTTGGCTTACTGCATAATAGCAAATTTGAAAACAGGCAGTGAAATAATGAGCTAATAAATGTTTCGTTACCTGGCTAGGTAACATCTTCAGTGCTAGAATGGAATGGGGTTTGCTTTCTGCTTACATAGTTCCTTGATTAGGGGGGAAAAATAAAACGCCCCCACCAACATTGGCAGGGCATGCCACTGTATATAAACAGAGAGTAAAGCCCATTCCATTCTAGCACTGAAGATGTTACCTAGCTGGGTAATGAAACATTTGCAAGAAAACAACCAAGCTCAGAGAACCCTAAGGATTTCACACTTCAACCCTGAGCTACACATATTCTCTTCTAATGGTAATGTGCTAATACTTATCACAACTTCCTAAAGTCTTGCTCTTAAAGTTGTTTTGGCAAAGTAGTTTTATTCCTAAGAAGTACTAAAAAAAAAAAATTATTTCTAACAGGAAGTGAACCCGTTGAATGTTGTGTAAACTTCAAAAAGAGGAAGGGACTGCCAGGCCTACAAATACTTGGGGTTACAATTCCCACACTCCAATAGAAGAGAATGTCTCTAGCTCAGGGTTGAACTGTGGAGGCCTTGGTGCTCTCTGGGCTTGGCTGTTTGCTTTTAGATGTTCCGTTACCCGACTAGGTAACATGAATCATCAAGAGTGCCAAGGAATCCACAATTCCCATGCTTTTATGTTAATGGCTATGCTGGCTAGTTCTATAGGAGTTGAAGCACCTGATTGTCAATCTAACCTTCTTGAGATCATGGCTGTGCTTGCATGACATCTGAATCACAAACCAGCCATATTTTAGGTTAGTGAGCTGTTCAAGCCCACACAACCATTGTGTGGTTAATTTGTGATTCATTATTTCATGAAACCCATAAGTTAACTTGTATGAACATAGTATGCAACAAGAAGGAACAGCAGTACCTTTAGATGTCTTGGTTCTTTTCTGCTGGGAAGTGCTCTAAATTGGGTATAGCTGAAGCAAGGGACTGAGCAGTGGCAATAGTGTGCAGATTGAGGCCCTTTTAGGGGCACCTTATTCAGGAGCCACAGGGCATGGAACTGGCTGTACCCAGAACCTGACTGGGCAACTAAGAGTGAGTAACAATCAGAAAATAATATTTAATCATATGCCTGTTTTGTATTTGGGAAAGAGGAGCATACTGACCATGTAGGAAAATGTATGCACTTTTTTATGCACTTTCCTTTTTAAAAAAATGTAAAATGTCTCCAATTTTAATCTGGAAATTGTACCCCAAATTTGGAAAAAGCTGACACAATCTGCAGAACGCAAAGTATCAAGAAACTGAGTGAAGCAGAAAAGATGAATGCGTGGATCAGAAGTCATTTCTAAAATCCCATTGTTTTAGCTTCTGGAAACTGCTCTAGGGGACTGGTCTAAGTGCCCCTGTTGAGTATAAATTAAAGATGGGGAGGGGGACCATCTGCAGCTGTTTCTGCTTTCTCTTTTCCTGCTCACTCTATTTTCAGCCTGGTTTAACCAGATGTACCCAGCAGCAGGGGGCAGAGAAAAAAAGGCCTAGGGAAAAATAAACCCTAGATTGAGATAAAGGGGTGGGGAAAGTTAAAAATGTGATTAATGATGAAACAAATGTGATACACAATCATTCCTTCCCTTTCCACCCTTCAAGCCCAAGTATTGTGAGAGGAGGGGGATCAGCTGCTCTGGGAGAACTGTGAGCTTTATAGAATATTTGGAGGGGAATTGGCCAGAAGGGGGGAAGATTTGATGGACCATGTGGGAATTGGCTTGAAGCTCCTCTTGACTGATCACCCATTCTTGGGCTTGTCTTGATATGAATGACCTGGTGCTAAAGAATGGCTTTGTAGTCTGGGGTGGGTTATGCAAAAGCAATTTCCAAGTAATATTTACGCTGCAGTCCTTTGCACACTTGGATGGGACTAATGAATTTAGCGACAATGTCAACTGAGTAAACTGCATAGAAGTGGATTGTTACTGTATAGCTGAGTTCATATGACACTGAATTGAAGCACAGTCCAGAAAAAACAGAGACACAGTTAGTAGATGGTTTATCAGACCAGGTAAGTTATCACCCTGCCCTTGAAAAGGGTTGCACTCATTCTAAAGGGTCAAGTTAATTGCCTAAGGGATGTTCCAGGTCCATCTCTGTCATTAGGCATGTGTCCTTTCTGACACAAAGAGCCTTTTACAAGCAGTCCTACTTAAAAATAGCCTGGTAATTTACTGTTTAGTTTACTGCAATGTATTCTGTGTGGGGTTGCCCCTGATGACAATTCAGCAACTTCAGTTAGTACAAAATACTGAAGGAAGAGTACATTTTTATTTGTTAGATTTATACCTGCAATTCTAGGTATTCTAGAATTGTGTCTAGGAAGACTAGACCAAGAAATCAACTCCACAGGAAGGATGAAACTACTTTTATTGAAATGGGCTATGATAACAGAATCATGTAAGTCTGATTGTGTGGTACCTCCTTCTTATAGTTCAGTAAATTAGGGAGGTGTCTGTCTGATCCACTTCTGAGTATTATCTATCTTTGTGGATTTAAAATACGTTTTACCTCCTGTTGCCCAATCTTGCATATCTCCATCAAGGTCATTTTCCTTACTCTCTACAATTTCTCTAGAGCAGTGCTTCTCAACCTCAGCAACTTTGAGATGTGTGGACTTTAGCTCCCGGAATTCCTCAGCCAGCATTCAGTTCTGGGAGCTGAAGTCCACACATCTCAAAGTTGCTGTGGTTGAGAAACATTGTACTAGAAGCTTATTACATGGGGCCTTTACTTCATCCTTATAACAAACCTGCATAGTAGTTTGAGCTGAGAGACAACTACTGGCTCAAAGCCACCCAGTGAGTTACCATGGCTGAATGGGGACTTGAACCTGTGCCTTCCCCATTCTTACTCAACCCCTTAAGCATTATGCTAGTCTTAAGCCAATTTTTTTGCCTTTACAGCTTGGGTCTAAAGCAGTGTTTTTCCAAACTTGGCAATGTGGGGAAGTTGAAGTCCACACATCTTCAAGTTGCCAAGTTTGAAAAACTCTGCTCTAAAGGATGTGAAGGAATGTATCTTTCCATATATTCTTACATACACCCTAAAGACCTCAGAGACATGCTCCAAATAGCTTCCACTGCTGAAGTTTGCTGAATGGTTATCCCCAAATTTGAAGTGAGGTATGTCTGGCACTGCCTTTATTGTCTTTCCAGCACAAAAGTTCTTTTCACTGTTCTGGGTCTTTACATATGTTAACATGTTAATATTTTACATGCATGTTTTGCGTAAAAGCTTTCTTTTATTTGTTATTGTTTATATGTTATATTTTTAATCGTTGCTTTAGTTTTAGACACCCCCAGAAAGTTATGTTTTGAAGGGTGCCATAGGCATTTTTAAAATAAAAATAAGTTTAGTAAGACAATTGCCTTATTTTCTAGGAAGTCAATTCCACCTGTGAGTAGACCTGGTCAGGATGATGGTGTTACATTTTACACACATCCTAATCCCCTGCCTCTTAAATCCAAAGCATGAACCTAAATGTCATTGTTTACAAATCGTACATCTTACATTAGTCTTTCAAGTCCTGATCCATTTCTGGACAGCTCCAGAGCTGGATCGAAAATATCAATGGCATTTCATCCAGGTAGACACACATTGTTTTAAAAAGCATTGTTTCCATTAGAAAGGCAAGTGGCAGACCACTTCTTGCAATATGCTTACAGCTAGTAAGCCTTACAGTTCTTCCTACTTGTTGTCTAAAATAGGAACTACAGGAAGATGAAGCAAAGCAAAAAGTTGTTTTGTTTTTTTTCCTGTGTGTGGTTATTTGAAGTAAAGCTGCAATCAGTCATGAGAATTCAACTCATTTTAAAATTAGAATCCCACCTCTGTTCTGACAGTTTTGCACTAATGGTCTTCAACTCAACTGAAAGAAATAGAAATTCCCTTGACCGGGATGCCTTTAGAGGGATATGAGTTCAGAGCCTTTTTCTCAAAACACTTCTGACATCAGCCTTCTTGCAAAACTCAGCTGTCCTGCTTTGATGATTGATGATGATTCAGGAAGTGATATCTCTTGCAACTATGGATAGAAATATTGGACTCAGCACACTTGCAAAGGTAGGTTTGGGTTTTTTTAGCAGAAATCTCTGAAATGTGATTTAAGAGATGCATGGTCCAGTCTTGTACAGATATTCAAAAGTAAATCTCATAGACATCACTGGGACTTAATTCCAGAGAAGTGTGTCTATAGGATCGCAGTTTAAGAGAAGTCTTCTCTTTCAATAAGCTTTTTGGGACATAACTGGACTGGCTTAGGAATAAACCTGCAGAGAATAAAACTCTTCTATAGCATTCCTATATTTACTCATTGGCTTGCACTATTAACATTGTGAGGATATTTTGGAGGAGCCTAAAATATTATTTAAGAACAAAAAGCAGAATAAAAATCTAATAATAATAATTTAAAAATTCAGAACTGAACTGGGCACAGCATATAACTATCTGTATCCTTGAATAGTTAGGAAAAGGCTCATAGAGATATTTTTTGGTATCAATATTTCTAAATGGATGACATAAATGTATCTAAACTGATGATAAGTTTCTGTTGGGGAGGTTGTCCTCAGGAGATAAATTAAGCCTTACCATCCCTATTCTGACTTAGATGTTTTAGGAGAGCATTTGGCTTCATGAAGTCCTAAATTAGAGGTAGCACTTTCAAAAATCACATTTCATGATTCCAGTTCCACTTAACCAAAGGACCCATGCATGATGAGACTGGAGTATGGCAAAACAGCTTAGGACACTCAAAGTCCAAATGAGAAACACTCAGCAGAAAAACAGTTCTTACGAGGAGTTGGAATTCACCACAAATGGTCAGAACTGCCTATGGCTAGGGCTAATATACAGAAGTTGATACTGGAATAATTTCTAAATCGTTTTTTTGTTTTGCTAGTATCTGGTGTTAGATCTCTTGCCTACCCATAGAACTACTGGATCATGTTGGGTTGATATGCTCTTTCCTGGAATCATGGATCATGTTGGGTTGATATGCTCTTTCCTGGAACTGAGGCTTATTCTTGCTTGATTTCTAACCATGCTTTTATATTATGACTGGGTGCATATGACATTATGTTACTGCATGGTGTAAAAACTCAGCCAATCAATCAATAGTTCAGTTGATGGTAGTACACATCCCATCACTTAATCTGCATCTCCAGCAGGCTATGGGGCAGAATGATTTGTAACCCACTTTGTAAATGTTATATGGCATTGTTTGTTCTGCAACATAGGATGTTATATTTCTGATTCTTGTTATGGATGTTTGTATCTTATGTTTAATTGTTTACTATCCTGTAAAATGCCTAGAGTTGTTTTGGTGACTGAGCAGGCTAATAAAGTGATTGATTAAATAAATAAACAGTGTGCAGCTCTTAAAGCATGCTCTGTGGCTTACAGCATTATATGAGCTTGAAAAGCTGTTGTTTTTTGATTTCTAGAAACTACCACTTGCAACCATTGGGTATAAATTCTAGCTTTGGAAATCCCAAATGCTAATTCCTACACTACTATGTGGCCTGCATCTTTGTGGTTTAGCATGTTTTAATATCCAGCCAATTATGAGAATTTCTGCTTAAGCAAACCATGGCTTAGTGTGATGTGTAAATGGAGTCTTTCTGTGGTTTGGGTTTGGGTTTTAGACTTTGCATTATATGTGAATCTATTATGATTTTTTAAAAGCATTAAAACAAACAAATTGCAGTGTCAACCCAGCCATGGATATTAGTTTCCAGACAAATAGCTATATTCATTGGTTGCTGTAAAAACAATCCTCTGACATGTTTAATATAGACCTATTAGATCTAGGCTGAAAAATATTGGATGGCCACACATTGGCAGCAAGAATCTATATCAAACTGCTTCTGTGTAGTAGTCCTCCAGACTACTGTAACCCAGATCTGATAATCCTAACTGATCAAGTTTATAATAAACTTTAATGTAAAAGCAGGCAACTTGGTGTCATGAATGGACTTCAGTTTGACATCAGGACTTAAAACAAGGACAAATTAATATCAGAGCATTTAATCTCCCAGGACACTCCATTGCAGATTTCAAAGTAGCTGTTTTAGGACAAAGATATTTTACTAGCACATTTTGAAAGAGAGAGAGAGAGAGAGAGAGAGAGAGAGATGAATTTATATACATTCAGGCCGTCTCAGAAGGACTCAATCGGTTTTTAACACATTACAATTGATAAGGTACCTATGAGCTGTCTCACTTGTAACCTGCGTGTGCATAACCACCCTGCTTCCCCCTCCCATTCCTCTCCCCGCCCCATCCTGATTTAAATCCAACATCATTTATGCTCTTCATGCATCCAATGAAATTGCATCTGTGCTGTAGTTCATAAAAGCTTATGCCTTTCAATAAAATTTGTTAGTCTGAAAAGGTACTACCAGACTCCTGATCATTGGTCTTCAATTATCCAGCAAGAAATGTGTGAATTGTTGTTCCAAACTTCTGGAAAGCATCAGTTTACCTGTCTTTGCCATGATTAGTTTTAGTCCAGCCAGCTCACTCCAAAACAGCACTGTTGAAATGTGGTTACACAACAACTTTGGAGTGTATCTCTGGGTAACTTAATTAACTTTGTGTCTAACCTAATCCAGTGTATGTGTGCACAGTCATAAGTAAGGCCCACTAATTCCATAGGGTTTACTTGGAAGTAGGCAGGAATAGGAGCTTTAATATGGCTTAATAATTTCTGAACACACCAGTTTGACGTATCTGTATGCAGGATGACAAAACAATGAGATTTATGCACACTTTTTGAGGCATACTGGTTTTGAGACTTTATCAATACATGCTGAAAAATAAACTTTAGTTAATACTAAGACAAAATGTATAATGGTAGGGTTTCTTCCCCAGTTAAATACAAGGGTATGACTGTATCTTATAGAGTAGGAAAATACTACAGAATTAAGAAAATCACACAGAATGATCAAGAGTTGAAGTAATTGTCTAGTGAGCAAACAGTTATAATACTTGAAGTTCTTTAATTCAGGGGGAAATGAATAAAGGAGGTCATGATAAAGAAGTCTAAAATTATACATACTGTGAATAAGCAGAAATTTATCTTAAAACAGGGATAGAGGGTCATTGAGTGATGAGAAGTTCAGGACAGACATAAAGTATTTCTTCATCCCATGGATAGTTAAATTATTGAATCTGTATCATGATATACAGACTGGGTTCACACATAAGACTTTAAGTTATAAGCCATGGTTTATAAACTTCAATGGCCAAGTTCACATAGTATGCTAAACCAGGATGTAAAGTACATAGGACATCTACAGATGGCATCAATAGAATTAAATTATATTTTTAAGAATTATTTTTAAAATAATCAACATCTCACAAAATCACTGAATGTTATGATATAGCAGTGGTGAGATGGTTGAAATTTCACCAAATTTACTTATTGTAATTTGTTAGTGACTACACTATAGAGTTAGATCAGACATTAGCATCATGTCATTTGCATGTATGATGCCATGACACCATCATGGCTTGTACTGTCTTGTCTGTGGAACACTGACATTCAGTACCTGAAAAGTTGCAGAATTCCACACTAAGCCAAAATAAAACAAGCCACATTTTTGCCCAATGTGTGAATCATGTTATAGTGGTGGCTATTGGCTTAGTTGTCTTAGAACAGTGTTTTTCAAAGTTGGTAACTTTAAGATGTATGGATTTCAACTCTCTCATGCTGGCTGAGGAATTCTAGGAGTTGAAGTCCACACATCTTAAAGTTGCTAAGTTTGAAAAATACTATCTTAGAAAGAAGTAAATACATTCATAGACCATAAAAGTATCAACGGCTTCTAGTCACGATGCCAATATGTTATGTCCAGTATCAGAGACAAAATACCTGTCAGTAATAAGAAGATGCTTGTTTTATACCTCTCCTATTTTTGTGATCTTTCCAATACACATCTGGTCAGCTGCTGTGGGAACAGAATAGGAACAAAGTCTTAGGTGCTTAAAGACTGCAGTCCTGTGCCCACTTACCTGGTAGTAAGCTTTATTAAATATGATGGATCTTACAACTGAATAATTATGCACACAACTGGTCTGCATAACCATAACTTAAACCTTAACTGGGTTTAGTCCTTCATGCCTATTAAGACACTAACTGGCAAAAACCTAAATTTGTTTGCATATCAGACACGATAGGATTCTCTTATTTCTGCTCAACAATAGTATTTACTTCAGCAAACAGATCTGCTCTGAGGGTTTCCTTGAGGACTGTAAAATGCTTGTTTTTCTGTTTCTTATTTTCATTTGGGAAGCAGCCATAGAAAATATATTTAACAACTGTGTAGTACTTTCAATAGGCTATATGCTTTTATAATGTTTCCTCTTTTGTCGCCTTTTTCCATCCTGAGAACTCAGTATGGTTTCCTCATTTGAAGCAAAAGGAACTTAGCTTATTCAAAGCTGTCCTGAATGTCCTCTTCCAGCTCTGGGTTTCTATCCATTCTTATTCATGATTTCTCAGAAAGCTGAATGTGTTGGCACTCAAATATGAAGCTGCTTATATGATTTTGAGCTGTAACTCTGTTACTACTACTTCTGCTGCTGTTGCACTTTTCCTTTGGGAGTTCAAGATGATACAAGACACAAAATACAGAATCACATTCCATGAGCTTCTTGGAAGAAGGATAGGAGTTAAATACTACAGCCATTTTAGTCTCAGCTCAGGTCTAGCTCCTTGGAAAAAGTGGAGTTTTTATTTCTTTTGTAGTGGGAACCAGGTTCTTTGAAAACATGAATGGTGGATCTTCTAAACCACTGTTCTAGAAGACACAAGTATGACCTGTAACTATCCTGTAGTCAGCCATTCCCTATTCTGGGACCATTTTGTTCCTGGAATGGAAACTTTGACCGATAAACCTAATCCGGTCCAAAGGGCCAAGGGATCCAGCATGAAAGGCTTCAACAAAATCTTTCTACTTTCCCTAAAGCCTTCTCTTCTCCATGTGCAAGAGTGTAGCCAGAACAACTCCACTTCATCCACACTCTGTCTTTCTTCCAAAGAAAGGAAGTATATGGCATGG